AAATGAGACGCCACAGATTGTCTATTAGGTTGCGGAAAGTAAAGATGAGGGAATTGGTTACCTTCGTTGTAGTATCCTCCATTTGCATTGTTGAATCCACCATTTGGATTCCTTCGGTATTGATTCCCAAAGCCTTGATTTCCGAACCCATCGTTGTAGTCATTGTTGCCACCATTGGGAAAATTCTGGTTGTTCCAGTTATTGTTGTAGTTCCCGTTTCCACCCCGATTGCCTTGATTCCGCCTATTACCACCGTTGTGGTTCTAATTCCAACCAAGTCCATTGTCACTTCCATCATCAAAATCCCAGTCATCCTCGTTACCTCCATTACCACCATTACCGAATTGAGGACCAACATTTCTAGGATTTTGGTTATGATTTCTAACATTACCACTGTTGTGGTTTCCTACATTGCCTCCCATATTTTGTGCCTAATTTCCTCCGTTTCCACCATTTTGGCCACGGTTGTTCCTATTCGGTTGTGGCAGTACTGGTTGGATGATTGGTGCACTGACATTGTTGTTATTCCCATTGTTTCCGTTGTTGTTGTTTGGGAATTGAGGAGCTGGTGGTGGAACTAGGGTGGAGGATTGTTGGCTGCATCCTCATGCCCCTTGACCACATCTTCCACGACAACGTTATCTACACTCATAGTGTTGATGTTCCTTCTGGCGACCCGATTTAAGCGAGCTGTTCGTTCGATTTCTGGATCAAATGCAAGCGGTGAAGAGCGTCCGCTATGTATTGTATGCATGCACCGGTGTGCCTGCACAACACAAATAAAACAAACGTGAACTGCAAACGAGAATTGAAAATGAAAGTAAAAAACTATAACTACTTAAACACAATAGTTCAAGCGCACAATCTCCCCGGCAACTGCGCCAAAAATTTTGATCGAGGTCGTTGTCTCAATCAAAAATAACCTCAAAACCACTAGATAGCTAGGGTAAGTAAGGGTCGAATCCATGAGGAGTTTGTGGTCAAACGTTGTGTGAAAAATAGTCAACAAAAATATATTATTGGCAATTGTCACGAAAACGATTAAATCAATGATGAAATAAAAAGCATGGAAATTTATTAATTAAAACAAAAATGTCAATGAGAAAACTAGAGTACTCCTGGTTCAGTTACAGACAGTTTAGATTCACACACTTTCTTCCCTAAAATCTTAATTCAATTACTTAGATGCAATTGGGGTTTATTAACTTGTAATACATAGTTTTGGGCACACTAGATGTTCATTCAACTAGTTGTCTTACTCATTTATGTCTAAATGGATTAGGAACAATTAGTGAACTAGCAATAAAATGTCTTACAACTACCTATTACCGCATTAAGATTCAATATCATAAGTTGGAATAATATATGTTGATTTAATCATTTGTCTTTATTCATGAACTAATTGAACTTGGAACAAATGATGAATTGGCAATAGACTATCTTAATTATGACCTCAAACAATTCATACAACCCAATTTCAATTATCATTACCAAAGATCATCACATAAAGCATAAAACAACAATTGAAATTAACTAGAATCAAGTAATAATCAAGTGTGTTCATCAAAAAGTCCTAAACATCCCCGAGAGTAACCCTAATGATTTAGCCTTCCATTGAGTTCATAAAAACACTAACTTGGATGAAATAAATGAAATACATAATAGAATTCATAATCAAACTTAGAATCATCAAACAAATGTAGCCTATTAATTATCAAAATACGAAACAAATAAACCTTAGGAGGAAGTAATCGTTTCTGAAAATTACTAGAATTGATGAGAATCACCAGTTGAATGATCTTCAAATGTTGCTTGATGATGAATTAAATCGAATCTTGCCTTGAATCCGGATTGAAATGGAATGGACTTGTGTTTCCAAATGTTTCCAAGGGTTTTAGAAGCCTTATAAACACAGGAAAAACTCTGAAAATCGTAGGTGGTAACCCTAAAAACGAATGCATAGGATCCTATTTATAGTGTGTGACAAAAAAATAATGAAATCGGCGATGTGGGACGTTGGATGTCCTAAGAGACGTCTTAGACGTCGTGTATAACGGCAAGGCGTTCTTTGTACGTCTTTACATGCCTTCTGTCGTCCTTGAAATACACTAAAAAATGGCCAAAAACGTCAGACGTCTTAGGAGACGTCTTAGACGCGTTCTAGGACGTCCTTCCTTGATTTCCAAACTTTCCGAAACACACCGTTCCAACACGGGACGCCCCTAAAATGCTTGGACGTCCTAGGGGACGTCTTAGACGCCATGTAGGACGCCGACGGACCCTTCTCTTTCTTTTTCTGCTCCGAAATTTGACTAGATGTTGACCGTTTGACTTGCAGGTTCCGCCCACTTTTAGTATGATATTTTGACATGCATATGAAGTTCAACAACTCATCAAAGTAGTGCCATTCTTGGACAATTATACATCAATTCAACAGATTTATGACAATTTAGTACATTCATAAAATAGACTTATCAATGGTAATGTGCCGATTATGTTCAGAAGGAACTCGACGAGTTAGTTCGTGGTTTCACGACTATGAGTAGCATAGGAACTCAGCGAGTCAGGGGGTGACTCGACGAGTTAAGTCAACTCGGAGCGTTGACTTTGACCGTTGACTTTGACTTTGACCAAGGTTGACCTAGTTGACTTATGAAGGCATTTGGACAAGAGTATGCTACGGGTGGAATGGTCTTCTACCCCAGTGAGGATTTATGGTTAAGCTATAAGAATCCCGGACTTATTTAAGTTGTATGATGATCGGTAGCTCGAGGAGCCGAAAGAGTAACAGTTCAGGGAATTGCCAGTTATCAGCCAGAGGAGTATCAGCAGGGCTTCAGTAGTGCAAGGTGAGTCTCCTCACTGTGTGTATGGGTCTACAGCCACAATATCGGCCCATTTAGTTTATGTATGGTAGGAAGACCCAGGGGTTAGCCCTAGGCATTATGCAGGAATGACCAAGAGGAGGCTCCTGGCACTCAGTATGTTATTTTGTATGATAGGAAGACCCGGGGGTTAGCCCTAGGCACTATGTATGAAAGACGAGGGGGTGGCTCCTGACACACAGTATGTTATTATGTATGATAGGAAGACCCGAGGGTTAGCCATAGGCACTATGTATGAAAGACCAGGGGGTGGCTCCTGGCACACAGTATGCTACTATGTATGAAAGGAAGACCCGGGGGTTAGCCCTAGGAAATATGCATGAAAGACTAGGAGGTGGCTCCTAGCACACTGTATGCTCATTAGCTAAGTAGAGTAGTATGTATGCTATTTGTCTTTGTGATACTTGCATGGAAGACCAGGATGAGACTCTTGGCACTTGTCTGTAAGACCCAGGGAGTGGCCCCCGGCTTGGCATAACAGCAATACTATGTGCGGCACACAGCACCTTATTTGATATATGATTGATATGTATGGCTCACAGTATGTATGGAATGTATGGCTCAGTTAATATGTATGGTATGTGGTATCTGGGGAACTCACTAAGCTTCGTGCTTACGGTTTACAATTTTGGTTTCAGGTACCTTCAGTTTCCAGAAAAGGAGCTCAGGACGATCGCAGCGCATTCACCCATATTATTCCGCATTATGTGATCTTTGGGATTAGACTCTAATATTTATTTTAAGTGAAACATTTTCAATGTTCGGAACAAAGCTGTTAAGTGTTTTTCTTATATTAAAAACAAAAATTTTAGCCTTGAATTTTGGGATGTTACAAGTTGGTATCAGAGCCTTGGTTTGAGGGATTCAGACATACTTTCGGGTGTATCTGAACTCAAACTGAGGACTCGGTATGAAAATTTTCAAAAGAGAATCATTTTTTATAAAAAGGTTTAAAAAAAGAGAGAAAATGGGGTGATGCGTGCAATCGACCGAGTTCAAGTAAGTGATTCCCAAAATACCAATACATGTTTGTTATGTGATGTGATATGATTATGTGATTCACATGCTAGATTAGAGATAAGGATCTAGGAAAGATGCCTTGTATGTTTATATGAGCTTGTAGAATTGCATGCTAGAACTGATCAGCCAGTGGTAGGATAGTCTGTTCAGGTTATGCCTGATTGTATATTTCTTGGATTTAACCCAAAAAAATCCCAAATTAGAACATCTACACATTTACAACCATGTTTGTAATTTTCATTGCTATATTCAAGTGGACTTTTCCAAAGTATGATGGCTTAATAAGAAAAAAAAAACAAAAATAGACTGTTAGTGTTCATAAATTATCAAAATTTTATTTTAGATCCATAAGTCAGCTGTTATTTCATATTAAATGCCTTAATAAAAATGATATCAATGCTTTAATATAAAGAAGTTAAACATGGAACAAAAAAAATTCAGAGCTTTTAACCATGCTGCTTTCAGCTTCTATTTCTATTTACAAACCTGGAACAAAATCCAACATATACTTATTAAACAAACATCAAACTGGTTCAAAATCATTATATGGTGAGAAAAAAAAGGTAGACCTTTCTATTTAACTGGTCACCTCCAAACCTATTGCAATTAAATCTGGTGTAAGATTTTTTTTTTAAAAAAAAACAATGTTGTGAGTCAATCTTAGATAACAAAAAGACCAAATCTGTTTTGAGAATATATGAAATAACAAAGAACCCAACTTTGTTATCTCAAAATAAGTAAGCTATTTCCCATGTATCAACCATGTTCAGCTCCCTAAAGAGTGTATGTGTGCATTTGTATGTGTGTGGCAGTGTATGTATTTGTGTAAAGAAAAACAGGGGATGGTAGGCCATGTAAAAGTGGAAGTTACAAGTTTTTCATTTGAGCTTCATTTTCTTCTTCTTCATCAAATAAATGTTGATAGTTTTTATAAACATTTATAAAAAAAGTGGAAACTCAAAATTTTCATTTGAGCAATATAGATAATGGTGCAAAATTATATGAATTCTTACTTCTTTATTAGAGTGAAAACCACAGGGACAATCATCACTTAAAAGTACACCCCCCCCCCCCCCCCCCCCCCCACGACTTCAACCATCAGTCAAATATGCTCTTTGGCATGCCAACATCCACCACGCCTCTCCATGCACTCATTGGTTTCAATATCTGAGAAAAAAAAATCAAATTAATAGCTTATTCTTCCCATTAAGTGATGTACAAACACATATACATATAAATATAAACACAAATATTTGCCAGCGCCCTAAAAATAGAATTCAAAGTAGCTGACCTTGGTTGCCAAGATTATTTAGCAGCATTGTGTTTCTCAGTAGCCTCTAACTGTGACCATAGATATATTTGTCGGTGCCTTGGCCAATAGATCCTATATACACGTACACAAAAATTAAACCAAAAAGAAGGGTTTAAATTCATATATTGTAATTGATTATGTGTAATTTAATATATGCTATGGTTGTACATTTTACCCAAAGAGAACACCAGTTCCTCTCATAGTTTTTTCACTACCTGGAAATCACAAAACAAACAACAAAAGTTCCATGGGTTCTCATTTGAAACCCATATAGATAAAAAGATTAAAAATAAAATAACCTTTCAACTCATTTCACAGACCCGTCTCCTCCAGATATGTCTTCACCCATCTTTGACCGCAAAAATGCAAAAAGAAATCAAAATCAAACCTCTGATGGTTAGGCTTCAGGTTTGGTCGCCAAGTTTCTTTTCTTTCCTCTGTCTGCGATTCTACACAAATGAAAAAGAAGCTTTTTATTATTATTTATTTTTTTTTTTTATCTTTTTTCTTGTTCAGAGTTGTGGATTAAGGAAGCTTGAAATGTGAACCTGTTCGATTTGAATGTTAGAAACGCCAATCCCCTGTTCGATTTGAATCTTAGAAACGTCAAAATCCCCTGGAGAAACACTAAATACATTCAATTGAGAATGTAGAAGGGCGTTTGTGCAATTACTATGAGCTCCGGTTATGCTAATGTTTATAATAAAGGCAACATAAAGAACGAAGACCTAATAACATGAATCACTTGTCTGGTGTCAATCTTTAAGAGAAGAAGAGTCGTATAGTCTTTCTGGTGGGCTAATGGTCGATTTTCGGTGAGTAGAAGAGCCAGGTGAGGAAATAAAAAGGAAGGTATTTAGAGATAGAGGAAAAATATTAGGGTTCGTTGATGGAGAGTGAGGTTTCCTACCATTCCAAGAACCACCACATCCATAAGAAGATCCAAAAAAATCAATTTTGTTTGAAATCAAAGGGTGTCTAGGTCAAAAATGTTACCTAGAAGTGAAGCAATGAAAACACTTTCTTGACATATGTGGAACAACTAAAATCCGAGCATGCTTATGTTACAAAATAAACCAAAAAAATCATAAACAAATTGAGCATATGTTCAAATGGAGGAGAGATAACCAAAATCTTGAACCTCTACCATTTGATGCGTAGCAATTAACAACTCTAACACAGTTTTGTGTCCGATGGTGGTGAGTGGTCCCGTAGGTGGCTGTGTCGGTTCATTCTCTTTGAAATTTAGCCGTTAAACACAACACACACACAGTAAAAAGATTTTATATACACACCTGATCTTTATGTAAAATGAATAGAGGAAAAGAAAAAGGAAACACATACCAGATTTATTTTTTCTCTGAATTGGGATTTTGGGCTTGTTTCGGAAGAGTGGTGGTGCCATCACTGCTGCCATCATACCCACCACCAAAACCACCTTATACCGCCACCATCACAACCCACCTTAATCACCACCAACCACAACCCATTACAACCTCCTTAAACCATCGAGACCACCTCTGTGAACCTCCACTTGCAATTCGTTGAGAGAGAGAGAGAGAGAGAGAGAGAGTATACCTAGATTTTATCAAAGCAATCAATAGAGAGGACGATAGAGTTAAAAGCCCATACAGATCCACTTCTTTGTCTTCTTCATCATCTCGATGAATCGACTGCTTGTGGAAGGCATGCAATCAGTAGAGTAAAAAGAGCACACAAAGATTGAGTAGAGAGAAAGAGTAAAGTGTTGAGACCTTAGTGAAGAAAAAGGCGATTTCATCATCTGTGTTTTAGGTCTTCAAATGAGAGAATGTGTGGAAGCCTTAATAACAAACAATAGAGAGGACGGTGTGCCAAAATGGATAGATATTTGCCAAGATTTTAGGAATAAGCATGGACTCAACTCAGATTAAAGAGATTAAGTCAATATTTTGAAATAGATAAGATTTCAAAGTAATCAGATTAAAATTTAATATTATTTTATTAATATCACTTGTATTATTAGCTTAACGGTTTGGACGTCTTAAAAAATATTAATATTATAATCAATATAATTTTAGAAATAATTAGATTTACTTTATAAGATACTAAGATAGTCACAACGGCGTATAACACAAAATCATTGTGGTCATATGCAATAGCTTTTGACCGCATTTAATCCATTTGGCTAATAATATTGTCCTTTAGGAATACAAATAATATATATGAAGATATATATTTATTTTTTGATTACATTGGATTTATTTGTCTAATTTCATTCTATGATTTAGAAACATAAACAATTTGTTTCATATGATCAATGTATTTATCTGTCGCCTTATATAAAAATGATAACAAAATTATACCATATATCAAACAAAAACATGGCAGATGGTAATATTTGACCACGACTGTGGCTCGTAATTCTCACATTTGTTATGTTCAATTGTGGCTAAATGTTGGGATGTACTTTGCAATGGTCACGAGAATCAATGTAAAATACAGCTAAAACAATGTTAGAGTTTTATCAGTAATCTTTAGCCACTGAAATAATCCTTAATATTTGAAAAAACTGTAACCAAATGTCATTTTTATAGAATTGTTATACAAAACAAAAGATGCTAATACACAAAGCCAACTAAAGTAACCTTAAACATGGAGTTTTGAACCAAGATGAATTGCTCAAAACTCATCAAAACGTTTCGAACTTGTTCTTCGTGTTCAAAACCCTAATTAAGATGAAGTGATAGCGAGTTGGGAAAACTTTGAACGGATGAATACATAGATAAATACTAGAAAATTGTCAGTTGCTCCATTTTTAATGATTTTCTTAGTAGAATTAGTGAAGATGCTCGACTTCGAGAGAGATTGAAATGAAGTTTCGGAAAAAGTATGAAAGTTCCGATTTGGAGCCTTAACTATTGTGGACCATTGATTTTCTTAGTAGAATTAGTGAAGATGCTCGACTTCGAGAGAGTTTGAAATGAAGTTTCGGAAAAAGTATGAAAGTTCCGATTTGGAGCCTTAACTATTGTGGACCATTGTTTTTGAACATCAGAACTCTACTTGGAAAACGGTGGTCCATTTGGCTTTTTCTGTTTAGTGTAGTCAAATGTTGCATCTATTTTAAGAAACAGGTCGTTTTTATGAATAACGGTTCCTTATTTCGTGAGGTCGAGGGTTCAAGTCTCGTCTCGGACATAAGTGGTAATAGGAATAGTTTAGGAGTAGATTAGATTTGTCGTTCCAAAAAAAGAAAAAAAAATGGTGAGTTGAGTTTCATAAGCGGTGTTTTTCTCCTTATGCTCCATCTGTTCTTCCCTGGCGACTTTTCATTTTCAACTCAGCTGCTAAGAATGAACTAGGGCTGTAAACGAACCGAACAAACACGAACAAAGGCTTGTTCATGTTCGTTCGTTTAAGTTAGCCGAACAATCGAACGAACACGAACGGAATTTTCTTGTTCATGTTCGTTCGTTTAACAAATTGTCTTGTTCATGTTCGTTCGTTGATGTTCGTGAACATGCTAAACGAACGAACATAAAGGAACAAAGATAAACAAACACAATTGAACATATATGAACATAAACGAACTATAATATAGTAATGTAATAAAAAAACAATTGAAAATATATGAACATAAAAAAACTTAAACGAACGAACATAAACGAACGTAAACGAACAACATAAACGAACGTTCACGAACGTAAATGAACGAACGAGACCATTGTTCATGTTCATTCGTTTAACTAAACGAACGAGAATTTGTGTTCATGTTTGTTCATTTATGAAATAAACGAACATAAACGAACTTCCGCCGAACAGTTCACGAACGATTCGCCGAACGTTCAGTTCGTTTACAGCCCTAGAAGGAACATTACAGAAATTTATTCCTCGGCCCTACCGCGCGCCATTTTAATGCTCTGAGCTGAGCAGTCACCCAGGGCTTGGGCAGGTCTTGCCTAGAGATTACAACAACTGACGTCGGTTTACTGGTTTACCCCATTTCAAAATCTAGCGGTGAGCTTATCCCACTTCAAAATCTATATGAACATATCTATAGTATTTTAGAAGCTTAGCTGATTACAATGAAAAAAAATTATAAATATAATTAAAGAACCGGTGATAACTGAAAACTGTGTTTACTCAATTACAAGGATGTACATGAAATTCATCGAGAACTATTTTGTCCTCTTTTGATTCACGTAGTTGCTAAAAATTGGTTGGTGTCGATCACAAAGCTTGGAGCACATTTCCTATGCACATTGGCAATGTAAACAATGTTGCTTAGACAAAGTAATAGATACGCGCGGGATTAGATTCCAATCAATATATAATAAAGTCAAATTAATTTTCTATAAGTGTTACCTCTAAGACATTATGATCAATAATCGTCTTTTGGGGGTCGACTAACACTAATAAAATCGGTTCTAAATAGTCTCCCTACGTATTACTTTTCTCTTTTCAAAACTCCGAGTGGTGTCATTGATGAATTGGAAAAACTGAGGCGCAAATTCATATGGGGTGGAGACGACACAAAGCACAAAATCCATTGGGTCTCCTGGGATAGAATAGTCGCATCAAGAAAGAAAGGTGGACTTGGAGTTGGGTCCTTAAGGGCACAAAACCTTGCCCTTCTCACTAAATGGTGGTGGCGACTGAAGATAGACAAAGGTAATCTATGGAAAGAATGTATTGACAGTATTCACAATCTGAAAAGGAAACCAATAACATACATTGCAAAAAAATCCATTTCGGGTGCATGGTGCAATATTCAAAAGGCTATTTTGAGTTTTTCAGAATTCAATATCGATCACAATGCATTGTTCTCATTAAGTCCCAATTCTGATGTTAACTTTTTGTTCTGGAAGGATAAATGGTGTGGCAACTATACCCTAAAGGAAAGGTTCCCGAGACTATATGATTTAGAAAAAGTCAAAAGTTGTTTCGTCAATGAAAGAATAATTAATCATTCTTTCTCGTGGCAATGGAAAGCACAGATTAGGAGTTCTGATGACTTGCGCAACCTATCTGATCTATGCTCCTTAATCACATCCATCTCAATGTCATATTCATCTGTTGGATTTCGCTTCACCCCAAATTCAGATGGAGTTTATACGGTTGGTTCAATGAGAAGAATAATCGAATCGAATACTGAATTTCTCAATGTACCTTTGATCCGCTGGGATAGAGAAATCCCGCTAAAAGTGAGGTGCTTCGTATGGAGAGCTGTGCAATATAGATTACATGTAGCGATTAATTTGGAGCGCAGGGGCATATCTGTCCAAAATCAATTATGCCCTTTATGTGATGCTGCTACTGAATCCGAAGATCACATTCTTATAAACTGTAGTAGCACAAAAGTTGTTAGAGAATGGGTACTCAAATGGTGTGGTATTCCATCGCGACAATTTGCAACGGTGTCAGAATTTACAGACTTTGCAGCTGCATGGTGTCAATGCCCACGCAAAAGGAGTATTACATGTGTTATTTTCTTTTGTCTTTTGTGGCAAATATGGATTGCGAGGAATAACAAGACATTCAAGAATCTAGGTACCCATCCCACAAAAATTGTGGATAATATCATATCAGTATGTCTGGTACAAATATAGGAACCCCATTGGTTGTGGTAGTTGGGTAGATTGGTGTATTTCTCCTTTTAATCATCTTTTGTTGTAATTAACCTTTGTACTCCTTTGCCCCACGAATTTGCTACTTGCTAATCGTGGTGGCTTATTATTATTATATATCTATTTGCTGTTTCCAAAAAAAAAAAAGATCAATAATCGTCACTAATTTGAAAAACACATAAAAAATGCTCGCCAAACCATTCATTCTGGCAATATCATTATCGTTGTGGCTACATCAGGCACTAGCTAGCCTCCCTAGCAAAGCCTGGTTGCCAGGACAGATGTGGTAACGTAACTATTCCATATCCATATGGCATTGGGATCGGTTGTTACCTCCACAAGTCATTTGAAGTCTGTTGCAATGAATCATCACAAGATGTTCCTCTTCGGTTTGTTAACAATGATGAATTCCCAATTTTATAAATCTCCATGGAGTCTTTACACATAGTTGGTATGTCACATCCCAAATGTTATGATCAGTCTGGAGGCTTATCAAAGACTCAAATAGTTCAACTGGACCGACACTTTAGCTACTCACATAAAAGAAATATCTATATGGTAGCGGGATGTAATATATCTGCTAGTTTTAAATTATTGGGTCCATTCTACAGATCAGTTGGATGCACTTCTAACTGTTACACAAACGCTATTAATAGATCTATTACTTGTAATGGCTCAAATGGTTGCTGCCAAACTAATATCCCAATAGAAGTCGGTGCATACCAGTCTTATATCTTTCATTTTGGCTCTGAGGCACCGTGTAGTCATACATTCATTGCCGAGAAGGACTATTTTCCACCAACTCTCTCCCGCACCACAGAAACTACATATCACTTTCCTGTGGCCTTAAATTGGGTTATCACACTAGCCAGTTGCCACCAAACTCTCCAAAGAGGAAACTATTTGTGTGGCCAAAACAGTCGGTGCATTGACTCCACCAAGGGCCGGGGATATAACTGCCGCTGTATGAAAGGTTACAGTGGGAATCCTTACCTTCCCAATGGATGCCAAGGTAACATATCATGTATAAGTAATAAAATAACACTAGTTTCACCTGATACAATAAGGGAAATTGCGGCAACATATACATACTATGTTGTCAGCGCTAGAAATCTTAAAAACATATGCATAAAAGATCTACCATCGTGATCATCTACCAATTCTGTAATGCCTTCTTAATATCTAACCCCGGTCTATATGTTTTAATTTCTAATTAATTTTTAAAAATAGATATCAACGAGTGTCGAAACCAAAGCAACTATCCTTATAGAGAGGATCAGATTTGCATAAATACACCTGGGAGCTACAAGTGCACTTCCTCACATGGCCACATATCAATCATCTCAGGTAAATCGACCCTATATAGATTCTGTCTGATCGCCACAAATAGTTTCATATGCACACACAAACACACATATATATTTGCAAACTGAATTTAGCTTTATACCGTGCATTCTAAGTGTAATATTTGGAATCTTTTCCTTCGCTGCTATTGGCCATTGGGGACATAAAGAACTCCGCAGAAGAAAGGAAAATAAGATCAAGCAGGAGTTCTTTAAAAGGAATGGAGGATATCTATTGAAGCAGCGTATCTCAGCTAATAAATCACATGTAATGAAAATAAAAATTTATTCTGCCAATGTGATAGCGAAGGCGACCGACGGTTTTAGTCAAAGCCGGTTACTTGGTAAGGGAGGACAGGGTACAGTGTATAAGGGTTTCTTGACAGATGGAACCATTGTAGCCATAAAGAGGTCGAACGTAGTAGATGAAGATGAGGTTGAACGATTTGTTAATGAAGTTTTCATTCTTGCACAGATAAACCATAGAAATATAGTTAAACTGTTAGGTTGTTGTTTGGAATAGGAAGTCCCGTTATTAGTATATGAGTATTTGTCCAATGGAACCCTCTCACAACATCTTCATGAAGGGGCAGAGGTTTCGCATTTTTCATGGAAAGA